TACTGTATTAGCCTTAGGTTATCTTTCACTATGTGTAGCCCTAATTTTGTGTATATATACATGGTTAATAGAGAGTTTGTATTATCCGATTGAGATGATTTTTCCCACAAATTACGTCTAGTCTCTCTCGTACCACGGTTGTAACGCCCACTTTATTTTAAAGATTTATCGAATTTAATTAATAAAAATCAGAGTTAATTTTTCGCAAATCTCAATTTAATAAAAACTTAGTGGGCGCTACTTATCTTACCAAAAACTTTTATCCGAAAATGCCAACACATCAGATAAAGACAGAATGCACGAATAATAAATCATAAACGAAACTAGCATTTATTAAGTTCCAAATCATAAAGATAATTCATAATTCCAAGTTCAAAACGACATAATCAAAATATCCCAACATGAGTTCCTTAAATGAGCGGAAAGCAAATAAATAAGCAATAAATAAAAACATGACCACCACCCGTCTTGTCTCGTCACCCGCTAACTGCTTAACCTGCATCCGTGAAGAGCAGGCGGGAGTGAGTACAGTTAAATATCGTACTCACACTATGCATATGTATAACATATAAATGGTATGGTCGCAACATGAACATAAACAATAAAATCATGTCACATCTCTAGTCACATCAATGACTCTAGTATCATCAAAGACTCACTCATGTACATCTATGCTCATCAAAGCTAAGCCATGCCATATCCGTGAAACATGGGAGTGCGTGCCACATCAATGACACGGCCTTCTCATAGGTCTTTATGAGATTTACCTCACAGGGTAACCGTATCTTATCATACGGGGACAACCGTACCGTTGGTCATCAAGCTCACATCGATAGGCTACATGTTCATTTTCATACTTAGATCACACCAAACTTTCATCACAATTAAAATCACGCATATGCATAGATAATTTTTGAATAACAACCCACCTGGTACCGAAATAGCAATTAAATACTCAAGAGTCGATAGGATGATAGCACGGCTCGTCAAACACCTACAATGGTTATGAGGTTCCTATCAAAGACTATCAACACATAGATACACTCATATCAACATTTATATCAAAAACACTTAGGTCAATTCAGCCCATATAAGTCATATTAGCAAGCATTAAAAAGATAGATTTTATTTTCGAAAACACCACATAAATTTTCGAAACACAACCCGCGCAACGATTTTGAAATCGACACCCAATGCAGCATACAATTCATATTGACACGAAATCAGTTGCATATGAATCCTAAGACATGCCTCTAAAATTCTTATGAAGACATCAGAAGCAATTAATGTCATTTAGCAGGCCTTAGAACATCAAACATATGAAACGGGGATGCTGTGAAAAATCTGGAAACATGTAATGGACAGAACCTCAGTATATTCAATATACGTGGAGCTATAGACATGCTATCAAGGAAATTCCAAAAACCAAAATGTAGCTAACTCAATTTTGAACAACTGTGCTGAAGACCACATTGTCAAATAAGGGCATTATCAACAGTTTTAAGCACAAAACATTTGGGTCATAAAATCTGTCGGAACTTGGTTCAGTTTACAAACAGCACTTTGGTATTGATAGTCTAAATCATTATACAGACCTCCAATTGATCAGATTTTAAAACCAATGGATAGACGAGAAGCATACCAACAATGTTCATGAAGATCACTTTCACATTTGAGCATGTTAGAACATCACTTTCAGACCAAACATCAATATCATATACTCAGCCCGTTTTTCAAAAACTGCTTGCATAACATTTTTACAAAACTCACATCTCATGCTACACTTATCATATTGACATTCTTTATACCTTGTTAGAAACCTAAGAGACACTTCTACAACTTTCGTTTAGAATGCTAAGGTAGATAAGGTCATTACAGAGGAGTAAAATCCACTAACATTTAGAACCACCTTGTTGTCTAAAAGAATAACTCACTACATGCTTATCCTACTTCTATCTAACACAAACCGAGCTACAGTAATCATATCAACATGAATTGTACCTCATCAGAAAGCTTAGAAAGAGACCTATAACGTTCATGAAGACCATGTTTCTATTTGAGCACATTAAAATGCAACAAACAGGTAAAACATTCAACATAAACTTGCTGCCGAGTTTTGTTAAAAAACTGCTCGCGCTATATTTCTGTAAAAATCATGTCTCTGTCATCTTAAATCGGATTTTCGAAATTCCAAAACTCACCGAACCACAACAGAATGAACTTCAAGTCTTATGAAATAAATTAATTTTAGAATACGAGTTTTTCATGCCCTTTTAGAGGCTCGACAGAGGCTGTAAAATTCACTATTAACCACACATGTGATATACAAACCTCATGATTTCACCAAAACACCATATAAACATCACCAACTTCATCATATCTCATGTATAACATGAATTCAACATATAATCATATATATAAATAAACTCAAATTCAATATCATCATATAACGACACATATCATCTAAAAGACAAGGGATAGCCACCCGTTACCGTTCACCACACGAGAGAACAAAGAACAAAGGTGAAGGCTCGGTTAAACTCTCGGATTTTCTTCCTTTTTGGTGGGGAAAGATGGAGGAGTTCTTCTTGATTTCTATTAATGTCCAAGACTAACTCAACTAATGAAAAGAAGACTTATATTAATGGAGCTAGTGGCCGAATGCAAGGAATGGACAAACTCTTGTGGCTTTGACCTCTCCATATGCATGTGATGTTGTTTTGTCTTGAAATCAATCTTTCAATACAATATGGGAGTAATAGCTGGACAAAAACAATTCTAACCGAGGCCACATGGAATAGGGAACAAAATTTGGTCTTAGGTAATGTAAGACAAAACATCTTACACATTGCATTATCATAATAATATCACATGATTCACTAGATGCCAAAAATAATTGACATTTCTTAATACATCTCAAGACTTATTTAACTCTTAATCCACATGCTATCACACGCATGAACTTGCACATGAAGGGAAATGGAAGACATCTCTTACACCTTTGCATAAAATATTGAACATGCATGAAATGGGGGACATTTGAAGTGGATTTTTTTTTTCTTCTCCATGTGAGTTTAAATGCTGAAAATTCATCTCAAATTAAATAATGGTGAACAAGTCATCTATCATGTGCTCAAGATGCTCAACATTATTAGTATACATCATATAAAAATATTTAAGCCTAATCATTATTATTATTATTATTATTATTATTATTATTATTATTATTATTATTATTATTATTATTATTATTATCAACATGTGCTTCGGTTTTGCCTACTTTGAATCCAAATCCTCATTCTTTTGATCTGAAAAATATCTCTAATAATGTCTTATGGAGACATAATAACATGGCACATGAAGTACAAATCAGAATCATGTGATTACATGAACAATAACATGGCTTGAGATGGTAAAACAATTAAATTTGTCATTACTTAAAATTTTTGAGTCTTTTACTAAACAAAATCCAAATTTATAAACTTTATAACTTGTAAAAATAATGCTAATCATGGTCATGATGTTTACTAAAAAGACTGAGAGGAAAAATATATTTTACGGAACCAAATTCAAACTTAAAATATGACTACAACCGAAAACGAAGAATTTGACTAAAATTCGATTTTCAACTCTTTTGGTTGGTTTTGATGTCTGAAAAATACTATTAAATAGTTGAAATTATAATGGTCTCAAGGGGGCTGGTTGAATTGGTTCGAAGTTCGGTGGCAACGGTTCGAAAATGAATTACAACGGACAACAATTCGGCTTACGCGAGTAAACCGAAAATTCAAACAACGATAGATAAAATAAAATTGAACGAGCTATATAATCATATAATAATATAATATATAATCACATAATCAAGGCATATAAATAATAAAATAAAATGCCATTAATTAAATAACTCAGAAAAATCTAATATTCGAACGGGGCGCTACAACGGTCGTCCCTTCGTCATCAAAACTAGGCGGACCCTCATATGCTGTCGTCCTCTCGTCATCAAAACGATGCGGACCCTCATACTCGGTCAAGTTTTCCTCCATCCCCGGTGGCTCCTCATCAAAAACTGGTAGACCGTCGTAGAAATCGCCCGCGTTGCCTGTAAGATGCTCCACCCGAAAACCCGTCTCCCATCGCGACTCACCAAAGCCCTCGGTCTCACGCCGAGGCTCGCGACGTCGCTCTCCTCAAAATCTACGTAGTCTAGGGCCAAGCGTCGCCAGACGCGAAGGCCATCCTCGTGGAAGCCCTCGGCTTCATGGAGCGCATGCTGGTCGCCACAGGGATTGACTTCCGAAACGAGAACAAGAAGAGAAATAAAATCTCAAATCTTACGTTTTTTCATTCAATACCGCGGAAATGCCAAGAGAACCGAAATAAATAGAGTTCCAAGCAGTCTAAATACCTATCTTGCTAGACTAGTAAATATGCAACAAAATAATTATTCTCCTACCAACTTCATAAAATAAATAAATGAAATAACAATAATAATTATAAAAATAAATAATCAAGCTAAAGACGACATCCGGTCATATCTCTCTAGAAAGGCAAGCACGATGTCGTCTCCATCAAAATCTCACTCTAAATTTTACCGAGGTTCTTCTAAATTTGAATATCTTAAAAAAAATTTAAATATAAAAAATTTCAATATATCACTCACAAATACAAACGAATACATCTTAAAGATTATTACCGTTAAAAATTTATTCAAACCCATGATATTGTATTTTCTAAAAAAAAAGTTGCCTAATCTTTTAAACCCACTGTAAGAGCACGTCGACATCAAGTTTGGGGCCAACTTTAAGTCTTAAGCACGCCAGACTTTCATCAAATCATTCAAAAATAGCAATAGATTTGTTGTGGCGTGGTAGGTAATAGATGGAGTAAATGGGTTATATTGTACACTACAATTGCAGCATATGTGAGATACCCACATCAATCTTTATCAACTATTAGATCGTCAATTTTAGTGTCTGCCACGTTGTGACCCAAAAGTATGATTTATCAATGCCAAATCCATCAAAAAAACACATGCACCAGCTACCTCCAATAGATATTTAAAAAAAAATGTATAATACATCTGTATCTTGCTCGATATGACACTCATAAGTAGTATATATATGGCTTACACTAAACATATCATCGAGATTTCCTACTCTTCGTCCATTTAAATTTTCCAAGATGAAGAATGATGAAGAATGATTGACTCCATGGCTTCCATGTTCCGAAGATTCATCAATCGAACAAATGAAACTAGCAACGGTATATGCGGATCAAGTAACTTAACACCAAAATAAGAAATAATAGAGCAATACGAAGCATTCATGACAGTAAAATCCAAGAATTGAAGAACAAATTCAACTCTGGAATAAGTACCAAGGAAAAAAACTGTCATAGAAAACTCATTCAACCTTTCTTCAGCTTCTCGACTTGGTGTATCCGAGACTAATTAGCTTCTGCATCAGCATTTTCTCAGCATTTGCCTGAAACCTCGTAATAGACACGCATGACATAGCAAATAATTATATGAACAAATAGGTCATAAAACATTTTGCAGCCCTGTTCATGAAGCAAATGCAAAAGTGTGACAGAGAGATCTAACCTCAAGCATGGGGTTATTCTTTGGTATGTTACAAGCAAGTACGATGTTAAGACCAGTTTTTAGAACTGAAATTCAAGTCATTTCAAGTCATGAATTAGACCAATTACGGAATTATTGAAGTGCACAAGTATTATATTGATAGCAATTTTACCTAATCGGCGAGCAATGCCAGAACCCGTGTTATCAGAAGCTCCTCGTATTAGAGAAGTCACACCAACTGTATGGCTCTGTGCATTGTTAAATAGTCAGAAAGGAATATGACACAAATATTAAGAAATTGGGCGAATAATCAAAACAAACAAAAAGATAGAAAATGCCCAAATGTAATAATTTTTTAACTTACAGGCCGTGTAGGTGCAGCCGCATACAAATGTCCAAACTTGGCTGTGTTGCAACCAACCCAGGCATAAATCTATGCAAGAGGTGAATGAATCAGAATTGGTTCCAAAAGAAAGGGAAACGCAGATACAGTTTTTGAAGTTACAATTAGACTCAAAACATGGAAAATACAATCGATAAAAGCTTGAACACAGTTGTCTCCAAAAGAACCTATACAATGTTCTGGATTAGAATACATGCTCCACAAGTGAGCTAAAAAACTGCATGCTCAAGTTCCAGATGATGTTATTTGGACCAGATACACAGACATAAAGGAAGGTACAAAGTTCTAATATATTAATAAGCTTCCAACTTCAGAAAACAATACCAACTATGCACATTATACGTAGCATTAACTTATTTTACCTCCAAATGTGAAGACATACGATCAAGGCACACAACCACAAACAAGAGCATATAAAATTTAATAAAACCTAATTTAAGATCAAAAAATTAAAAAAGCTACAAGCATACAAAAACAAGAGGTGTTCCCTATGTTGATCAGCCCAAAAATATCCTATAAGATACTCAGAAACAAACCAAACCGAAACAAATTAAGTCAGAACAATTATCTGCGAAAAGCAAATCAAAGGGACAAAAAGAATCGAAATATACGAGCACCTGATTGTGAAGACGAATAATCTGAAAGTGGAAGGTTACTTCATCAGAAGCTTGAGAAAAACAGGTGATTTGTGGGCAACCTTCAGCTTGATCAGCCTGTTCTTTGATGCTCAACTCATTTATACTCCCGCGTACTATTTCAATCTCATTGCTGTCCATTTTTAGCTGCGAGAGAATTTCTCTTGTGAGTTTTTCTTTTGCATATTACTTTTCGATTGTAAGTAACCCGACACAAACAAGAAAAAGAGCCCAGCCAACATAATTACTCACAACGTCTAATTATGGAAGCGTGCTAGGTATTGAAAAAAAAATCACAAAGCTAAAACAATTCATTGAGTCTCAGACTCAACACTCAACATTTCACAAAATCCGCAAACACACAGGCTAAAACATTTCATAAACTTTACAATCACCAATTAAAGCAATTAAAGATTATCCCCAATTCACAATCACAAATTCACATTGCCACAGTCAGCTAACTATATTAACCCAAAAAAAAAGAAAAATTATTAGTTCTATTATATCTATCTTGTAACTTAAATATAAATTAAACTTTTAAACATAAAAATAAAATAAAAAAAAAGTTAACAACACTATTCAACATTGTCGGATGTAAATACTATTGAGCTATTGTTTAGAGAAATGTTATACAGTATAAAATTAATGATAAAAATACATATAATAATATATTATAAATATAAAATAAATAAAAAATTATATATTAATTAAACCATCTCGACCGGTTCGACCGCTGGTCCGTGAACAATTGAACCAGTAGCTTCACCGGTTCGATGACTGTTCGGTGTTCAGAACCATGGTAAATATCATTGTAAGCGGTCATACCATCAATCTATTTATAATGAAAATTTTTCATAATATTGGAATAATAAATTTCATTTTTTATTTTTAAATTGATTTGCAAAAACCTAATTTTTTAATTAATTACTAACTTACTAAAATAATTGTTGTCGAACTATATTTCTCGTGCATCGCACGGGTTCAACACTAGTTATGTGAGTGAATGAACATTGAATTAAAGTTGATGTGATGAGTAAGAATGATTAATTTATATTATTTAATTATATAAATAATATTAAGGATAGTGAGATTGAATTAAAGTTGAGTTTATATTTTGAGTATGAATTAAATGTGAATAAATTATTTGGTAAAGAAGCCCTTGACATTGAAACAGTGACCCAGAGGCAGTGGGGTCATTGACGGATTGTTTGAATCAAGATCAATCACAGTTTCAGTCCAAAACAAACAATCCCTAAAACTCTCCTCGCACAATTTCTCACAATCACCCGTCGGCTGTCACCAACCACCAGCCACTGGCCCCTCTCCGCACTCAGAACTAGTCCATCACCGGTCAACCACCAGTCTAGCGGCGAATCTGTTACCGCCCGCACGCAGCGGCCACCGCCTGGCGCTCAGCAAGTTGACGATCCCTCGCCCTCCCATTTCGGTCGACGCTATACCAGAACTAATAATTTTTCTTTTTTTCTTTTTTTTTGGGTTAATATAGTTGGCTGTGACCACTGACTTATGAATGTGAATTTGTGATTGTGAATTGGGGATAATCTTTAATTGCTTTAATTGGTGATTGTAAAGTTTATGAAATGTTGTATCCTGTGTGTTTGCGGATTTTGTGAAATGTTGAGTGTGAGTCTGAGACTCATTGAATTTTTTTAGCTTTGTGATTTTTTTTTTTCAATACCCAACACGCTTCCATAATTAGACATTGTGAGTAATTATGTTGGCTGGGCTCTTTTTCTTGCTTGTGCCGGGTTACTTACAATCGCAAAGTAATATGCAAAAGAAAAACTCACAAGAGCAATTCTCTCGCAGCTAAAAATGGACAGCAATGAGATTGAAAGAGTACGCGGGAGTATAAATGAGTTGAGCATCAAAGAACAGGCTGATCAAGCTGAAGGTAGCCCACAAATCACCTGTTTTTCTCAAGCTTCTCAAGCTTCTGATGAAGTTACCTTCCACTTCCAGATTATTCGTCTTCACAATCAGGTGCTCGTATATTTCAATTCTTTTTGTCCCTTTGATTTGCTTTTCGCAGATAATTGTTCTGACTTAATTTGTTTCGGTTTGGTTTGTTTCTGAGTATCTTATAGGATATTTTTGGGCTGATCAACATAGGAAACACCTCTAGTTTTCGTATGCTTGTAGCTTGTTTAATTTTTTTTTATCTTAAATTAGGTTTTATTAACGATTTTATATGCTCTTGTATGTGCCTGTGTGCCTTGATCGTATGTCTTTACATTTGGAGGTAAAATAAGTTAGTGTTACGTATAATGTGCATAGAAGTTGGAAGCTTGTTGGAACTTTGTACCTTCCTTTATGTCTGTGTATCTGGTCCAAATAACATCATCGAACTTGAGCATGCAGTTTTTTAGCTCACTTGTTGAGCATGTATTCTAATCCAGAACAGTTTTTTAGCTCACTTGTTGAGCATGTATTCTAATCCAGAACATTGTATAGGTTCTTTTGGAGACAACTGTGTTCAAGCTTTTATCGATTGCATTTTCCATGTTTTGAGTCTAATTGTAACTTCAAAAACTGTATCTGCATTTCCCTTTCTTTTGGAACCAATTCTGATTCATTCACCTCTTGTATAGATTTATGCCTGGGTTGGTTGCAACACAGCCAAGTTTGGACATTTGTATGCGGATGCACCTACACGGCCTGTAAGTTAAAAAATTATTGCATTTGGGCATTTTCTATCTTTTTGTTTGTTTTGATTATTCACCCCATTTCTTAATATTTGTGTCATATTCCTTTCTGACTATTTGACAATGTACAGTTGGTGTGACTGTGACTTCTCTAATAGGAGGAGCTTCTGATAACACGGGTTCTAGAATTGCTCGTCGATTAGGTAAAATTGCTATCAATATAATACTTATGCACTTCAATAATTCTGTAATTGGTCTGATTCATGACTTGAATTTCAGTTCTAAAGACAGGTCTTAACATCGTACTTGCTTGTAACATACCAAAGAATAACCCCATGCTTGAGGTTAGATCTATCTGTCACACTCTTGCATTTGCTTCATGAACACGGCTGCAAAATTTTTTATGACCTATTTGTTCATATAATTATTTGCCATGTCATGCGTGTCTATTACGGGGTTTCAGGCAAATGCTGAGAAAATGCTGATGCAGAAGCTAATTAGTCTCGGATACACCAAGTCGAGAAGCTAAAGAAAGGTTGAATGAGTTTTCCATGACAGTTTTTTCCTTGGTACTTGTTCCAAAGTTGAATTTGTTCTTCAATTCTTAGATTTTACTATCATGAATGCTACGTATTGCTCTATTATTTCTTATTTTGGTGTTAAAGTTACTTGATCCGCATATACCATTGCTTGTTTCATTTGCTCGATTGATGAATCTTCGAAACTTGGAAGCCATGGAGTCAATCATTCTTCATCTGGGAAAATTTAAATGGACGAAGAGTAGGAAATTAAGGGGATGATTGTTTATGGATTCAACTAATTTTTATTTGGTTTGTTTTTTAACTATCGTTAATTTTGAAAAAAAGATGGTATGGTTAGTTGTTAGTGGATATATTAAAATAATATTTAAATAAAATAATTAAAGTTGATTTGATGTAAAGTAGGAGAAAAATGATTGGAATTGATAGTTAGTTAAAATTATGTGAGTGGATGAATAGTGAATTAAAGTTGATGTGATGTGCAAGAATGATTGGTTGATATTATTTAATTATATTGTTAATATGAGGGATAGTGGGGTTGAGTTGAAGGTGAGTTAAATTTGAGTTTTGATTGATTTTTTTACTGTAGAAATTATAAACAATCGCCCCCTAAGAATCTCGATGATATGTTTAGTGTAAGCCATATATATACTACTTATGAGTGTCATATCGAGCAAGATACAGATGTATTATACATTTTTTTTAAATATCCATTGGAGGTAGCCGGTGCATGTGTTTTTTTTATGGATTTGGCATGGATAAATCATACTTTTGGGTCACAACGTGGCAGGCACTAAAATTGACGAATTAATAGTTGATAAAGATTGATGTGGATATCCCACATATGCTGCAATTGTAGAGTACAATATACCCCATTTACTCCGTCTATTACCTACCACGCCACAACAAATCTATTGCTATTTATGAATGATTTGATGGAAGTCTGGAGTAGAATGAAAGATACTAAATATGCCAAGGGAAAGAAATACACATCCAGCAGAAGCTTGAAAAGTTCAAACACAAAAAAGTATATCATTGACGTTAATAATGAAATTCCAATTTTGATAATTCCAATTTTGATATGCAAAATTCTCAAAAAATAATGAAGAAAACCTTTCTATATGTTTAGAAACCGCGCAAAAATCTATCTTCCATATAAGGCTTAAATCTCAATACTGTAGAAAAACAAATAAGATGCAGCCTTTTGTTCTGAGTCATATGCTTTTCGAGATTAAATCGAAGAGTCAATGATTTATTTTCATATGATCAACTGAGAAAAATTAAATTTGAAATATCTATAGTCAAGTTGTGGCACACTTCAAAGGTGAATTAGTTGCGTATTTGCCAAACATTGCCCACACAGAATAGCTTCCCTGTAGCAGCATTCGTTACACTACATTTTCACACCGATAGTCCACACAAATACGATGACAGTAATTGTAAATCCTCGGTCCACAACTAACAGAAACATACTAAATAGAAAATGCATACATATATTCAGATAAAGGTAACCATAGACTAAATGCTACAACCCCAAAAAACACACAATCAAGATAACAAGTTCAGCTGTTTTCTAGATGTCAATAAGATTACATCAACTAAACCCTTTAAACAATTAAAGCACGTAAAGTTTATATCCTAAGCCTTATCAATTATGATCATAGAGCTAAAGTGCCAACAAAAATTTTCCAAGGAACTGATCAATAAGCACAAAAATTCTAGGTATCCTCCGCTCATTGATGAAATTGGAAGTAAACAACAATTTAACATTCAGATTATCAACAGCAGTGATAGACACAAAATGACTTATTTCTTGATATGTTAAGAGATGAAACTTTTCCCACAGGAATGTACCACTAATGTCGATGAGCTTAAATCATGTTAATTAGTAAAAATGATTCAAAATGCAGCAAATTCTTACAAACAGAATCTGAAGAGGGAAACACTATATGCTGAATGACAAATGAGAAATCCTTTTTGGAAATGCCTAAAGACATTTCTCCACCTGCTTCCATGCAAAAGAACAATCATCACCATCACAAAATTCGATTAACTGAGACAACCTACTATCCAAGTACCTCCATCAAACAAGAGACTCAATAAAAAAACACAAATAAACCAGTTTATCCCAGAAAATTCCGATGAAGCATATTCATTTACCTTCAGAAAAATACAGACCACAACAAGTACGTGAAGCCCATAAATGATTCGAACGGAAAACTTAACCACAAGAAAACGAAAGAGAAAAATTAGCTGAATTATCACTTGAAATGGCGGTCTAAAGGGCAAGAAAAGACAAATGAAGAAAGAAAAACACCAGAAATTCATCAAAACTACAAACGACAGAACGACGAAAAAAATCCCAAAATGAAAAGAAAAGATATTCATAGCCCACGAAAGAAAAAGGTGCAGAAATTTACCTCGTAGATTCCGCAAACAGATTGTGTGTGAATTTCATATGAAAAAGACCCCTTTTATTACAGCTCCACACCAAAACAGCCATGTTTTGTTCTTATTTGTTGCTCTGTATTTATTTCTCTACAAGTTACAACAGACAAAGTTGGGCCTGGAATTGGGAAATTGTTGGGCCTTCTACGTGATTTGAGATTAAGACCAATGGCTTTGCATACGGAGTGTGACAAAATAGCTCATCTATTGGGCTGACTGCTCTCATATGATGCCACAATAATGCATTAGTTTAATATGTATTTACTATTAATATAAAAAAATTATAATGATAATTTTAAAAATTATACAAAAAATACTATTAATGGAGAGTATCAACCGAAAGATACATAATGCCGCGTACAACAAGTTTTTTCATTATTGATGATAATGCATTTTTTTCTATTATTTAATTTTAAACTTCTTTTAATCCTTAGTATAATTAGTTGACATTGTCTGTGTATATGCATGGGTAAAGAGAACTAATTGGTTTTAATGGCATGATAAACTCTTTAAAACTGCGTATATAATTATTATAATAATATGAGTTTAATATTATTTTTTTTCAACTAATTAATTGGTCATCAACCCTTAAATTTGTGAAAAGTTGCATTATTCATTACATGGCATAGTTTCATTTTTTAGTTCACTATATTGATCACTCTTCGAGAATGATCCACCTTTTTGGCAGATATCAATCTTAATATATTAATTTGAAAAAATCACCAAATAAAGTAGACTAATCATTAGGGGCAGGATAAAAATTATTGTCTCATTTTCGGCCTAATCCGAGGTCGTTTGATGTCCGTTTCAATTGGATGACCCACCGTTAGATTCTTCTCGTCGGGACGGTAGCTCATCTAAAATAATTTAGGTAATTTTTCATCTGACTTAATTTTGACACCATCTAGAATTTGGTTTAGGTGGGCGACCCACGTTTGGATTTTTTTTTTTTTTTTTTTTTTTTTGTCGAATTGGTCGTACCTACAAAATTTGATCTCAACTGGTATTATTTGCCTGCTCAATTGTTCATTCAAAATAATTTTGGCCCAAATTCGTTATTCTCTATCTAGGGGCCATGTTGGTTCCTTCTGAGGTAAGTTTTAGTCAGGTGACTCATCATTTACATGTCTCATCAAGACGATCCTAAACACAAATTTATAGCTCAATGCGATTTCGTTTGTCTACTCAATTGTCCAAAATAATTTGAGTTGTCCTAATTTCGACCTAATTCTAGTGTTGTTTCACATCAATTTCAAGATTGTGATCCATCGTTGAATTCTTCTAGTCGAGATGATCATATACCCAAAATTTCAGACCAACTGGAGTTCGTTTGCTCAGTTTCAATTGTCCATCTAAAGTTATATGCACAAACTAGATTTTCGGTCCGTGATTGGCCCCGTGTCAAGCTCGTGATAAATATCAGTAATCCGACATTTATTCTACCACTAATAATTAGTGTACCTTATTTGATGATTTTTTTAATTAAATTAATGTATTATTTTTTGTCTGTCAGAAAGGTGAAACTTTGCTGGAAATACACCAATATAATGGACTATAATAAAATTATGCTTCCATTACTATAACAACGAATTTTATTTAAAGTCCCACTGGGCGCCAAATTTGTAACAATGAATTTTATGAAAATCACAGAACTTTTGTACAACTTGATTTTGTATTGATCAAAAGATTATGCAGGTGCAATCTCTATTTGTCTTCTCAGATTCTTCTCTTCTTGAATTTGAATTTGGATCTTCAAATATGGATTTGGACTTGCATAACGTTGAGTCGAGGGCTTGATAGCTTTTTCTTGGATCAAGGTCATATTATTTGAACTTCTCAACGAACGCGACTTGAATATTACTTGAACGCCATTGATGTTCTTGAATTGATTTGAAACGAGTGAATGTCGTCTCTTTACATCTTGGAGAAGAGCTGCCGCCGATTCGAATATTTGGTTGCGGGTTGAATGTCGATCTTCAACTTGAATGTCATTGGATCTTCAAGAACATCTTCAAATCTTCTAGAAAGTTTTTGAGAACTCTTGACTTGAGACTTTGATTTATGAGGTGTGTTTTTTGCTTTGAGAGATTCTATTATTATAGATGTAGGAGAAAGAGACTTTGAGAAGAAGATATCAATTTGATTGGTTATTCATGATTTAATATAATCTCTTTTTTATCTTATAATTTGACTTGGTGGATAAGAAATAATTTACTTTATTAAAGATTTATGTCCAAAAATAAGTAATGACATTAATTAATGTAATATTAAAATTTCGATGTTTACAATCATATTTTATGCAATCTATACAGTGATTAATATATAATTAAAATAATCTATAATTATATTATTATTTTCTACTAATGATTAAATTTGTACAATGTGATATGTTCATTATATACTTAGGATTTAATTAATAATATCCATACATGACTTATATACGTGCCTAAGATTGAATATCCCCTATATATTAATTCAAAACGTGTTGAGCCTAAGTGACAGACTCGCACGCTTTGGAATCATACGTGTCAAATTATTATGCTTCGTATTTAGGTTCGGATAAAACATTTGGTAATATAATCGGCTTGGAATCAACCATAAATAATTATTTCATCTCACATCATTGCATCCTATAAATATCTCTCTTTCATTACCATAAATTTGTGTATTAACACTATCATATTATTATGGGAGTATATCCTAAGATAATTCCATAAACTTGGTATTCTGTGGTTTTAAATGAGTTTTTAACTAATTCATACATGTATTACTTTTCCATATTTTATATCATTCAAAATACATTTTATATCATTCTTTAATAGCATAAATTTAATTCATAAAATAGAGTAGATATCTATATTGAATAAAGTAGTTTTAAATGAGTTTTTAAATTACCTATTTATATTAATTCTAGAAAATATAATTATTTAAACTAACTAAACTACAAAGTAGTTATATGATATTAAGAAAAAAAAATTATATAATATAAGATGGTAAGTCATATAAGTGACGGTATCAATTTAAATATAAATAATAATATATTTTTTAAAAAATATTTAAAAACTAAAACAATTTTTGTTATTATTATTTAATTTTAAATATAATTTTTTTAACAAGTACCCATGTAGTACACAGTATTGTACATTTGTACTAGTATCAGTTTAATGAGAAAGGGAGACCACAGTGAGTTAATTAAGACAACTAATAGATGCTTAATTAGTCCTAACACGTGGTGGGAGTCCCCTAAATATTTATTATCATCAACGGAACACCTTTTAACGTGCCTAAAGTACATCATTAGCCTACTAAATAAAGGTTTTAGATCGATTTTGATGACAAACAACTGCAATAGTTGTCGGGCTCCTTCATCTCCTCTACTCCTCTACTCATGTCTGTCTTACTATTTTTAAAGCGTTATTATTTTATTTTATTTTTTCTTGTTCCTAAGAATGAAATAAAACCAATTTTACTTTGATAATACAAGTGTGTTGAGGTTAAATATAGATATTTGTTCCAATATCAAAACTTTCAATTCGGAAGCCAAAAACATCATGTTAATCCTTAATCAGTCTAATAATTGTATTTGTGTATTTTTTTTAGATGGTCTCCTATCTATAAATTTATATCTAGTATAATATTTATGTAATACACGGGTTTTAATTAGTAAATTTATATTTAAAAAGTGAAAAATAAAAATAAAAGTTTTCATTTAAATATTTTTAATATTTTAAAAAATAAAATAAATATTATTTTAATTTAAAATAGCTTTTCCTAAAAGACACATTAACCGTTACTAGTGTATATCTCGTGTCGATGCACGGAGGAATTCATATTTTAAACTTTTTTTAGATTTCATTTTAAATATATTTTTTTTTATATTTTTTACATCTCATCTATTATACAATAAAGTAAATACAAACAATGAAACATATATGTTATTAAAAACTTCTCTTTATACAAAAGTTTTTATTTAAGGAATATTATTAAACCTTATGGTTTTGATTTCATTTTTAAAATCAATTATCCAATATCTGTCTGTTAATGTACAAAAAATAATAAAAAAAATCCAAACTCTAAAGTAAAGCTATTTTTTATTTTTTTTACAAATCAAAATCATCTAAATTTTTTGAATTTCAAAAAAATTTGATAAGTTTGTTAATGAGATAAATCAAGTTATACAAATGATTAATTAGTTAAAATATTATATTAATTATATTTTAAGAAATCAGATTATATAGATGTGGATAAAAAAATATTATACTAATTAGTTTGTTAGAAATGTGATTGATTATATGGAAGTTTATAGGGGTAGGCGCGGTCCGGGATTTGACCTATCCCGGTTCTGTCCCGTTTTTATGACCCAGTTCGGGAACGGTCCGGGACAAGAAACCGTCCCAAACGGATCGGTATCAATTGGGATCGGGACAAAATGGTTCGGGATCGGGATAAAACGGATTTAAAAAAAAAAAAAATCAACCATACTCCGATTTGATTTGAGGAATTGGTTGGAAATGAGGATGTGAAATTGTTTGGGAATGAGAATTGTGAAAAGTGAAATTCACATGCAACTTCAACCCCCCACAATAATGTCTCACTCAGTTGACTTATACATTTGGGTCAGATAAATGGGTAATGGTTTAGTTTTTTTAAATTTTTTTGCTAGATGATTGGGCTTTAACGGTTACAAATACAAAGCTTGAACTGAAGCAAGAAGTTCAAAAACCTATTATTAATTATTTATTATAATACTAACATAAATATAATAATAATGTATAATATTCATATATATATAATATTTTTGTACAAAAAAAATAAAACGGGACAAACGGGGCGGTTCGGGCAAAAAATATTCAAAACCGATACCGACATTATTTCAAACGGTTCGGTACCGAAAACGGTACGAAAATTAAAAAACCCGTTTGGAACCCTATTTTTTGGAACGGGACCATTTCGGTCCGGTTCGGTGCCGGAAAATTCGGTTTTTTTGTCCATCCCTAAAAGTTTAGAAAAAATGAAATGTAACAAAAAAATCTTTTCGTGGTCTTTTCCT